ATATTGTGCTCATATGCGAGACCACGAACCATATTTTATTCATATGCCAGACCACGTGACCATATTGTATTCATATACCAGACCAAAGGACCATACTTATATGCGAGAGCACATGAATATACTGAATCATATTCCACACCACGGGGATATCTTGCACTCACATGCCATATTAGGAAATGTATTGCAATCGCATGTCAGACCAAGGGAATCTATTGTTCTCATATACCACACCAAAGTATTATATTTCATATTAACTTATTGAAATCTTTTTGATTTACCAAAATATATCTACTTTTCTGTTACTCTTATTTATATACAATCTCTATGGCAGCGGAATATAAATCATCTGTATTTTATGCAAATGGCAGCATTGCTAAAAATTTAATTTGTTGAAAACTTGTGAACACGTCCCATTTAGTTAAGTACATAGACGTCGGACATAAGAAGTGATAATACCGTTTGCTGACAAACACAAAGCGTAATGAAATAAATGTTACAAATCTGAGACAGTAATATTCCACGCATATATACAAGTGTATAAGTTCAAGTTGATCATGCAATCAGTTTGTCAATTTCTAATTGTACTACCACTTTCCTAGATGTAATAAAAGTACACTTTGTCCATTTTGTTCACACGTTGTTTATGCTAAATGCGCATTCGTGCGATGTACTTTGCATATATCAACATAGGTAGATGTGTGACGGGCACCTGATTCAATAATGAATCTGACGAACACGTTTCCGCCGAAATGGTTTCTCTAAGCAGTTCTTGGGAATAGTATTTCCACTTTAAGCCAGTGAATCTTCCTTAACAAGTACATTCCAAATGATTTGCATGTTACTTGTGCATTTACCCCGCGCTCGATGTCTCCGGTTTCTATCGTTCGATAAGATTTATTGGACTGTCTTGGATTAATAAACCACTTGCAATGGTCGCATATGTTTTTCAAGCGATATGGCAAAGTAGTAAAATCAAAATTCCAAAGATATCTTTACATAAACCACGCTCCATCTAGATCTTAACAACATTAATAAAACACGTTTTTTTTTTTAAATTTTACTTTCAGACAGAACATAGCTAAACTGAAACATAACGAATAGAAAAAGGAAATAAAAAAATACAGAATGTCCGTTTTGACGAGACAGATAGTGTTACACCAATGGATATATCTGACAGAATCGTCTTTATTTCCATTCCTTTATCTGGCAGTATCATTGGATATCTATCAGTGCTAATGGATATCTGACAGTATCATTGGATACCTGTTAGTGGTAATGAATATCTGACAGTGCCATTGGAAATCTGACAGTCATTTGATAAAATATGAACAGTCACATGCAGTAATGTATGCATTCCTTTCTCTTTTTTTGGCATATATATATATATATATATATATATATATATATATATATATATATATATATATATATATATCGAACAGTGTTATTTCTTTAAAAGCAGTTAGATGTGTATTGTAGGGTAGAAACCGGACAGAACATAGATGTTTATTCTAATGTCAAAACCTAACAGAACATAGATGTGTGCACTGAGTTAGAACTGGAAAGATTGTAGATATGTATTCTTTTACATGTGAGTGCTTTGCCATTAAATTGGCACTATATAGCCACTAAAGTGATGACATGCCACTAAATGAATATTTAGATCAGTATTAATCTGACAACACGAATATATGTATTCTTTGGCCGTCGGATGTAATCTAGATGGATATTCGATGAAGAAACCGGACAGAACATAGTCGTTTATTCTGATGAAAAATCCGTACGGAATATTGATGTGTATTCTGATGAAGAAACTCGAAGGAACTTAGATTCGTATTATCGGGTAGAAACGACAGAGAATTCAGATGTCAGTTCTGAGTTGGAAACCCAACAGAATGTAAATGTATATTCTCAGGTAGAAAAAAAACAGAAACTACAAGTGTATTCGCACGTAGAAACCGGACAGCACATATATGTATATTCTCGGAACCAAAAAGTGTATTCTCACGTAGAAAATTGACAAGACATAGATGCGTCTTCTCAGGTAGAATAAAAGAAAACAGATGTGTATTCACAGGAAGAAAACGGAGAAGACATAGATGCAGAAAATTGGCAATAATTAAAGCTATAAAATTTACAAGACATAGATGTAGAAAATTGACAAGAAAGATGTAGAAAACTGACTAGACATAGACGCAGAAACTTGACAAGACAGATGTAGAAAATTGACAAGACATAAAGTTAGAAAATTGACTAGACATAGATGTAGAAAATTGACATGGCATTGATGCATATTCTTAGGTAGGAAATTGACAAGACACATATGTAGAAATGTGACAATAGTTTTAGAAAATTGACAAGACATGTAGAAAATTGACTAGACAAGGATGTAGAACATTGACTAAATATAGATATATATTCTTAGGTAGAAAGTGACAAGGTATATATGTAGAAAATTTACAAGGCTTTTTTAAACCTCAGAATACACATCGAGTATTTCTGTACGTTTCCACCTCAGAATACATATAAATTGTTGTGTAGTTTCTACTTCAAAAGGCACACCTAAGCCCTGTCCAGTTTCCACCTCAAAATACATATAAATTGTTGTGTAGTTTCTACTTCAAAAGGCACACCTAAGCCCTGTCCAGTTTCCACCTCAGAATACATATAAATTGTTGTGTAGTTTCTACTTCAAAAGGCACACCTAAGCCCTGTCCAGTTTCCACCTCAGAATACATATAAATTGTTGTGTAGTTTCTACTTCAAAAGGCACACCTAAGCCCTGTCCAGTTTCCACCTCAGAATACATATAAATTGTTGTGTAGTTTCTACTTCAAAAGGCACACCTAAGCCCTGTCCAGTTTCCACCTCAGAATACATATAAATTGTTGTGTAGTTTCTACTTCAAAAGGCACACCTAAGCCCTGTCCAGTTTACACATCAGAATACATATAAATTGTTGTGTAGTTTCTACTTCAAAAGGCACACCTAAGCCCTGTCCAGTTTCCACCTCAAAATACATATAAATTGTTGTGTAGTTTCTACTTCAAAAGGCACACCTAAGCCCTGTCCAGTTTACACCTCAGAATACATATAAATTGTTGTGTAGTTTCTACTTCAAAAGGCACACCTAAGCCCTGTCCAGTTTACACATCAGAATACATATAAATTGTTGTGTAGTTTCTACTTCAAAAGGCACACCTAAGCCCTGTCCAGTTTCCACCTCAAAATACATATAAATTGTTGTGTAGTTTCTACTTCAAAAGGCACACCTAAGCCCTGTCCAGTTTACACATCAGAATACATATAAATTGTTGTGTAGTTTCTACTTCAAAAGGCACACCTAAGCCCTGTCCAGTTTACACATCAGAATACAATGTCTAAGTTCTATACAGTTCTATTCGAGACTATACATTTATGGGATGTTCGATTTCTACCTGAGAATACACACATTTATGGGATGTTCGATTTCTACCTGAGAATACACACATTTATGGGATGTTCGATTTCTACCTGAGAATACACACATTTATGGGATGTTCGATTTCTACCTGAGAATACACACCTGAGTATTGTCAATTTCTACGGAAAGTACATAACTTAGATATCTATTCTGATGTAAACCCGATATTACTTAGATTTGTCTTCTGAACAAAAGCCAGTTTCATCACTACATAGAGTGATTCAGTTCCTAAAGGTCAATAGATGCTTCTGACAGCATTATCCCTACAGTGTGTGTGTGTGTGTGTGTGTGTGTGTGTGTGTGATTTGACGTGGCTTTAACAATTTATCATTCATATTGCTACAATATCTACAGTGTGGCAATTTATAATGATGTCTAGCACTGGGGCATCATGCTGCAGACATGCCGAATCATGTACCACTTACTGAAATTATCCTGACACGAGGCCGACCAGTCGCAACACTAACCTCTTAATGGTGAGCGCCTAGCAAGGCAGCTGATAGTACCATTTCTATAAGTCTAAGTCTTTGGTATGACTTGGCTGAGGCTCGAATCTGCGACCCTTTGCATTCGAGGCGGAAGCCCTAACTGCTAGGCCACCGGAGCGGTTTCATTTCTAGATGGATTGGAGTGATTTAATTTCTTGAAAGTCAACATTTACTTCTGACAGTTTCATACATACACGGAGTTAGTCAACACCTAAATATACTTAGACTTTCTCTTTATATGTACTTGTCAGTAAGAAAACTCCCAGTGCAAAAATAAATATTTGCGACATAGGAAAAGATGTATATGGAAATAATGAAAAAGGTCTTAATGTCTTCCCTAATTACACGATCAGTGGGACAGGTACCGTTAACTGTCATGTCGACATACTAGTTATCATATTGCTGGGGATAACCTTGGTCAGTCATCTTTATACGGTAAAGCTGGATCTGAATTACTTTATTTATGATGGACTAACCAACCAATGGATGTCTTCCATGATGGCTTGACTGATTAAAATTAATGGAATGAACGATAAATCAATTAGGCAACGCATTCATGGGTAGCTACAATACTGAGAAATATGTACATTACCAAATATTCCGCAAGTAAGTGCATTTAAGCCTTATACAATTTATGGTAAATGCATATTTGTATTAATGGGTTTATTATACACTCATACCAGTTTCACATCAGTCTCACACAAGAATCATGCAAGCTCGTGTCCGCTTTGTGCTTGAAAGAAAATAAAAATGATCATTGATCAAAAATAAATTTAAAGGAAGGCTGGATATAGTCTTTAACAACGTATACGTCCAACTAAAGAAGGCAAACATAGAACCGTAGTTTTTAGACAATCAAGGAAGGTCACACAATCTTAAACGAAAGCAGCTAAATTAAATGACCACAATAAATTAGAAATCCAAATACAGTATTTTGATTTGTAAAGCGAATAGTCATTCCACTGTGTTAAATATAATATTGAGAGGACGTAAATGTATTTCAAGAAAGGTTATATGGTCATCTATTGTATTTCATCGCTAACATCGTCGCTACGGTGACTTAAATGGTTAGAGCGTCCGCCTTAGATGAGGGAGGTAACGGGTTCAAACCACGACCGAATCATACAAAAGACTTATTTTTAAAAGATGCTATCAGATGCCTTTTATATATATTCGAAACCAAAATACAGCATTAATACTTTTTCCCGCCAGCCCTAAACATTGCATTCAAAACGATCTGTCCCAACAAAGAAGTATCCAAAAGGTGTTATTAAGAAAAGTCTTATAACCTTGTCGAAAGCAAGTACGCCATGTCAAATACAAGTAAAAGACAAAAAAATAAAAAATAAAAAAATGCGCATGGTGACATAGGAAAGGCAAATATGAAACAGCGTGATGACCTAATATTGTTCAAAGAAACGGGGAATATTGGTACCAATCGTCCTGACTTTTCATCTAGATTGCCCATCACTAAGCAACACTGTTCTAACATCGAGCATTCCGAAACCGTATTTGTCTTTTTTCAAATAAGCCAGTCATACCTTATTGCTTATGAAAATATATGAGAGACGTTCCTCAGAGCAACTGCTCTGTTGGCCTAGTGGTTATAGCATCCTCTTCAGATGCGGGAGGTCGTGGATTCGATCCCCGGTCATACCATAGACTTACAAAATGTTACTAACAGCTGCCTCGCTTAGCATTGACCATTAAGAGGTTAGTGTTAAGACTCTCGGCCTGATGTAAGGATAATGTGACATCATGCTACATGTCTGCGGCATGGTGCCCCAGTGCTAGACATCACCATAAACTGCCACCGCGAAATGACTGAAAAATTGCTCAAGCTACGTTAAAAATCATAATCACATCACATAACTCCCAGGGCAAAACTACAACACTTCATAAACCAAACTGTGAACTGTTTCTTCAAACCGCTTGGAGGTAAAAATGCTAGACATGCCGAACATTATCATCCTGGAGGTAAAAATGCACAAGCCGAACATTATCACACTGGAGGTAAAAATGCAAGACATACCGAACATTATCACACTTGAGGTAAAATTGCAAGATATACCAAACATTATCATCCTGTAGGTAAAAATGCAAGACAAGCCGAACATTATCACACTGCAGGTAAAAATGCAAGATATGCCAAACTGATGATTTCCTTCAACAACAGTCCAAAAAGACATGTATTTACAGCAGCATTATCATTTGCAATACGAAAAAATAGTATGATTAATATGCTCAATCAAGTATCGGGATATTGGGGGTGGGGATGAGTAGACCGAAAAATTAAACAGGAGGACAAATCTAAAGAGGTTCGGATGGCAAAAGTCAAATAAGTAAATAAGAACATACGCTTATTAAAGTAATATATTGCGAGAAGCTCTGTCACACAATACCTTTCTTCTCCAGTCAACATATTTATGCTCTTATCCTCATGGGAGTAGTCCACAGTCAAAATTGGAACCTATAAACCAGTTGAACATAGGTCACGTGTTGGAATATCGTCCTCTTAACTTTCAGGCCAGACGATTTGAATTAAGAATATAAATAAGTTTCCCATTTCATGCTCATATTTATTTGGAAGGGTTGAACATTTCTTGTGGCCTTGGCACCGTTCTTGGATTTTTACTTGGTTGGAACATTACATTTTCATTTTTCATTGGCACCCTAAATCCAATTTTTTGCTAAGTATAGTGTACCGCTAGTAACATATCATCATAATTCTTAATTTTTAAAAGCCATTCCTGTTTGACGTTTTTAGTTGTTTGGAATGCTTTTAGAGATTATGTGAAATTCTCGCTTTCTGAATGTTGGGAATGTTACTTTAGATTTCTGTACGATATAATCATTGTTTGATAGGTTCTGTTAAACATTTAGACGTTGTTATCACCTAATTAAAACTTTTGGAAGTAAGTTTAAAAGCTATTTCCCTGTACATATTTACATTTAAAGATTATCATCTCACTTCCAAAAATAAAAAAGACAGCAAATCATCAAATAATTTTAACCATAAAACACGGCTCCAAGACGAATAGCATTAATTGGTGGCCAGGCAAAGCTATTTCACATATACTACGATTGCAAAATTTTCCAGAGGCCTTTTAAATAATAATTAATACTAACAAAAAAATTAAATTTTCCCCAATTATTGCTACATAGTAGTTGGAGTTGTTCTACGATCGTGTGTTTTGAAAATTACTCGAGGCAATGTCTGAAAGCACTGTCTGTTTATAGTTCTACTCTCTACGCATCTCATATCACAGGCAGAGGCTACCTTAATTTCATCCAGAGATTGATTACAAGCCTCGTGGGCGTTGTGGTTCAACGAGAAGTCCCTAGCATATTTGTCCAACTAATACAATATAAATGGCGGAGTGAATGGCTTGAATATTGACCCAGCCGTTTTGAGAGGCCATCCATATGTCCAGTTTCTAGGAAAAAAATAATCTTAGTAGGATATGCGAATTACGAAGTTTGCAGCTACTCTTTTGTGGTATACCAAAATCTTTGTTATTGTCTAATATCAAAGCAAACAACAAGACATACATCGAGTAGACAGTAAGAGAATTATGAACCGATTACTATTTTTTTAACGCAAAATAAAGATGCAGCTGAAGAATTGTTAACATGGGAACTATCCCAGTCATAAAAGTCGCATGTCTTTATCTGATGGCATGCATCTTGACGTCACAACTTTTGTATTATTTAATTATTGCTAAGCATTTTGATACAGAAATCGTGGACTGAAAAATAATAAAATGGCTTTGCATTCATAAAACTAGCAAGTAATTCGTCATGCATATGACAAAAGTAAAATATTATTGTTCGATATTTGCATGAGTAAAGAGTTTTAATAATGGGGAAGGGAGTTCTAACATCAGTAGACATGAACTTTTTGGATTATCGAGTAGTTTTAAATGTCTTACTGAAGTAATTTCAATAAAGGGACTCTTAGACCATCAAATAAACGTAGTTTTAAATATATTACTGCAGATATTTCTCACAAAGCCAAGATGATGCCTTCGGATCGTGTTGAATAGCGGATAAATGGGAAGAACAAAGATCTATAAAAACGTAACGTGAACAAAAATACTCACAGTACAATGACAATAAGCAAGGCATTATAAGAATATAATGCAATTAATAATACCGAAAAAAATAAGGTGGAGGCGATGATGGGTGACGTGCGCGCATGTGCGCGCGCGTGTGTGTGACAATGCCGCAAGAAATCGTCCTGACAATGTCGGTCAAGATATATATATATATATATATATATATATATATATATATATATATATATATATATATATATATATATATATATATATATATATATATATATATATATATATATATATATATATATATATATATATATTCTAATTAGGTGTGAAACCGTTGATTAGATGGTTTTTAATAACCACTGGATGAAAACGAACATATTCATATAGACAAATTTTGGAACATAATTTTCACTTATCCATTAATTGGAATGGGTGTGAGATGTAGTCGGGTCATTATTATAAATATTCTCTGATTGACCTATCTAAAAAAATTCATTCACCCATCCGTAAAGAGCAATAAATCTTAAAGATTTCTTGATATAAGTTTCGACAGTGAATATTAATAGGAATATATTTCTACTCGTTTCAGAAAACTAAACGAGACATATTCAGATACCTTTATCTGTGCGTTAATAAAATAGACGGAATTGTTCTGTGCAAGAAGTACAAAACCTTTATCTATACATTACAGACGCACTAAAGCAACCAGTAGTCTTTAAGGCCTAATATTATCTATTCTCCAATGCAACATATAGTCTTTACTTACATCCATGCTCTAATGAAATTTGCAGCTGAAGGCTTAACATTTTCCATTGTCTAACACAACGTACTGTATGTATGGTGATGCTTTATCCATCTACTAATGAAACATACGTTTAATTCCTAATATTAACCATGTAAATTTTAGTTTAATCTGGAAAAACTTAGTCTTAAGACCTAACATCCATGCTGTAATGACACTTTTGGTCTATAATGACTAACATTACCCTTGTTCTAACGTAACGTATAGATGTCAGGACATAAATCATCTATTCTCTTGACAGCTTTAAGGCCATGTATCTATACACTTGAACAATTTAGAGTCTTTGAGGCAGATATACTGAGCCCTTAACAGTAGTTTGCTTAGATTTATTTAAAGCTTCGATGGGCTGTTGGTATAGATGAATTTTAGAGTCCTTCGGGGTGAGGCCTATTTTATTGGTAAAATTGTAAAATATGAAATCCTTCATAGAGAGTCATAGTGTATTAGTATAGACGTAGAGTTTGAAATCCTTCATAGGAGTCATAGTGTATTAGTATAGATGTAGAGCTTGATATCCTTCATAGGGAGTCATCGTGTATTAGTATAGATGTAGAAAATGAAATCCTTCATAGGGAGTCATAGTGTATTAGTATAGATGTAGAGTATGTAATCCTTCATAGGGAGTCATCGTGTATTAGTATAGATGTAGAATATGAAATCTTTCATAGGGAGTCATAGTGTATTAGTATAGATGTAGAGTATGTAATCCTGCATAGGGAGTCATAGTGTATTAGTATAGATGTAGAGTATGAAATCTTTCATAGGGAGTCATAGTGTATTAGTATAGATGTAGAGTATGAAATCCTTCATAGGGAGTCATATAGTGCATTAATATAGACGTAGAGTAGGAAATCCTTCATAGGGAGTCATAGTGTATTAGTTTAGATGTAGAGTATGAAATGCTTCATAGGGAGTCATATAGTGTATTAGCATAGATGTAGAGTATGAAATCCTTCATAGGGAGTCATAGTGTATTAGTATAGATGTAGAATATGAAATCCTTCATAGGGAGACATATAGTGCATTAATATAGACGTAAGGTAGGAAATCCTTCATAGGGAATTATATAGTGTATTAGTATAGAGTATGAAATCCTACATAGGGAGTCATAGTGTATTAGTATAGATGTAGAATATGAAATCCATCATAGGGAGTCATATAGTGCATTAATATAGACGTACAGTAGGAAATTCTTCATAGGGAATTATATAGTGTATTAGTATAGAGTATGAAATCCTACATAGGGAGTCATAGTGTATTGGTATAGATGAGCAGAATGAATTCCTTCAAAGTCACTCCTGGTTTATTAGTATACATGCACAATATGACGTCCTTAAGATGCAGTCCTATGTTTGCTGGTATAGAAATGCATTATCAAGTCGTTCAAGTGAGTCTTAGTGGGGTTATATATGCATTATGAAGCCCTTCATATTGAGTCCAAGTTTACTAAAATAGATGTGCAGTATGACGTCTACATGATTTAGTCCTTATGTTTTGGTATAGATGTTCAGTACTATGTCCTTCAGTGTTAGTCCTAATTAAAAATATGCTTTTGACTGAAGTCCTTTGTAATCCTTGGTTACCGGATTGATGATTTTTTTCTTCTTTTTTTTTGACTACAAGAAAAAATCACAATGATGTTCCATAAAGGCAAATTATCATCATGTATCGCACGTGTCTTGATTCTATCCATCCCACGTTCTTTCCATTGATAAATGTGCTAGGTTTTGTTTGCGGGACTGTAGGTTCACCATTGAGTCCTTCTGATGATCTATGCAGAACATGGACTCGGTA